GGCGGCTAACAATTATGGCAGCGCTGTCTAGGAGCAGTAAACCGGTGAAAGTGAAGCATTTCGCAGCTTCAGCTGTCACTTACCTCAGCCTTACTTTCATTTCACTTGTGCTACTCTTCAACTCTTCTTTCCTTGAACTTTTCCATCATTGGATGTCTTCATTCTTGTTCCGCACCGACACTACTTCATTGAGACAACGACCTGCTCTTCTGTCAACCACACGCGGACTCCAAAGACCCAGATCGGACGCTTCGAAACATACATATCACAACACGCCAGGGAGTGGACAGGTTTTGGCAGCTTCGCCCTCCAATAACCTCAAAGCAACTCAACGGTAAATTGCATGACTCGCTTGTCATTACTTCGACCCCTGTCAACTTCCTCTTTCCGCTACCGCCGAATCCACCGACTTGTATCCTCGAGTCGTCCTTTCTGCCAACATGGAAGGGTCAAATCATGACGGCCACCACCTCCTCGATCTCCCAGGCGAAGTTCTCAACATCTTGGTTACAAAGCTAAGTGAGGAAGTCAGGTGGAACGGCGCAGCCCTTTCAAGCTTCCGCCAGACATGTAAGAGAGCTTGCCGGGCCGCCGACTTTGCCTGGTGCAGACAACTTCGGATCACCCATGCGTCTCAATGGTGGAAGCTTGACCGGATCTTCCGGGCTAACAAGCAGTGCATCTTTCACGTTCAGGCCTTGATGATCAACTCAACATATCTCGATTCAATCCAGGAGGGCCGATTCCTCCTTCGCTCTATCTCGCGTTTTCCAAACCTCACATACCTGAAGCTCGATACCTGGAGCCTTGGTGACTCGGGTCAAAGTCTTGAGCCCCTGCTAGCGGATCTGAACCGTGAGCTGTGGACGAACGGGCTTGCCGAACTCCGAGAGGCCGATTTGCAACTAGGATGGTCCTTCGAAACACTGTGGAAGCCTTACGAGATTGTGAATCTAATGAAGGCTCCAAAACTGAAGAGGCTGGCGCTCGATACGGTCAACCTGGTGGGGTTTCGCGGAGAAGACATACCTGAGCGTTCCACAGCCCTCAAGCATCTCAAACTGTCCTGCTGCGCAACGGACGAGAAATCACTCTCCGAACTCCTGTCCAAGCCCCTATCACTTCGAAGTCTCCACGTCTGTTCAATCCGACGCACCTCGAATCGGCTTCCTCGGGCACTTGGTGACTGGAATCTTCGTCAAGAGATTGATGGTATACGGCTTTTAGTACCCCTTGTTGCCCAGATCCAGCCAGGCTTGACTTCAATGTCCGTCAAGTTTGTGCATATAGTGCTTCCGCAAGACACCACGAACGAAGAGCTTCTCGACTACAGTCAACTGGTGTCTCTGAAGAAGCTTCGCATCGCAATGCCACTTGTCTCTGAGGGAGGAATGGTTTCGGAGAACACGAGCTTTCCAGCCAATGCTTTCGACAATTTGCCGGTGAATATAGAGTGTATCGAGCTCGAATCTCCACGTTCGCATGGAGCCATCGATCTGAACCAACTGGCAGATGCACTCAGCGGCAAGCCTCTTCCGGGTTCACTCTCACAGCTGCATGTACACACCGTCGAAGAGCACTGCCGGCCATTCAATAAAGAGTGTCAGGATAAAGACGACGTTCTTCACAGAGGTATTGACCGCTTAATGAGAGAACTTTCGATAAAGCGTCTCACTTACACGCAACGACACCCGCATTCCTTCGAGGAGCTGAGATACGACATCGCCGTTCCTTACGAGATGTTCAGAATGCTGACAGCGAACAAAAAGTCAACCGCTGAGGATAGTGAGGCGTTCAGCGAGGATGGAAGGCCTTATGAGCTGGAAGAGATGACATGGAAGAACGAACTGCGCTGTGAAGGAGAGGATTGGCCTTGCGAGAACGAGCAGTGGTGACTGCAGCTTCTACCAACGTCGGAGGATCTGGGTTTCAGCGTGACATCGTGAGGTCAACGGTGATGATAGAAGCGACTTGAACAGAGCGAATTTGCATCGACAGGAAAGACACGAAGTTGAGGCTGAACGACCTCTCCGCTGCTGAAACCTTTATCATGACTCACATCTACCAGTCTGCCACTGTTCCACAGTCCTTTCCGCCTCAAAATCGGACGACCACAGTCGAATCTCAATGTATTGTCTCAAGCATAGAAACCCGGTAACGGCTGTGCCGCATATAGCCGCTCGCTTCCATCTCGTATATCTGTTCCCCGTAGAGGACTTCTACGCAAAATTCGCTCCTTCCCGATGCGCGGCCCCATCCATATGCTTCATAGGACGGCCATCTCGGCGGACGAGACCGCAGTTGGTGGGTGACGTTGAGTCCAGCAGTACTGGAACCGTGCGATCTTGGTTATGCGAGCTAGAGCTAAATGGCAGAGAGTCACGCTGACGACAAGAGATGGGCTGCAGTCCCTTTTGTCTTATTTGATGATACCGTAACAACTAACTAGAGGCAAAGAGAAGCGAAACGGAAAGGTGTGCCTCCAGAGGAGACGAGAATAATCTTGATCGTGATCTTTGCCTTCGATAGGCTTCGTGAAATGGGGGGTCATGGACTGTCGTTTCAGTGTCGAGAGCGGTTCGAAAGCACCACCGCCTGCCTTTCGAAACACACCGAGCGCTTCCTCGAGCATCTAGGACACAGTCACGCTCGCGCTCCCAGCACCATTGAATGCTTCCACAGCCATGACCTGGAAATTGTACGAGTTGCCAAAGCCATACTTCGCCCAGTAGCTAAAGTGGTTTCCAGTCGTGACGGTTCCCGAAGAGCGCTTGCTCTGGCGCACCGACCAATACTGCTTGAAGGTGCTCGTCCCGGTGATTGACGGTTGGTTGGTACGGGTGTCAGTGCAGACGGTGTAAGTGCCTCCATCGGACTGCAGCGTGCCAAGATTCTGGGCTCCAGAGCATGGATTGTAGTCTCCGTAGTTCTCGACGATGTAATACTCGGCCTGTGGGGAGTTGATCCAGCCATAGACGGAGAGATAGGATCCAGAGTTTGCAGCGTTGTACGTTGCTGAATAGGTGATAGAGCTTTAAAGAACGTTAATTTCTCTGGGGGCATCAGAAGGAAGACAATGGCAGCTTACCGAGCAGCGCCTGTGGACCAACCCAGTCCGACAACGAAATCTCCATTGACTCCTTGGGTCCAGTACATGGAATAGGTGCCTGCATTCTCGTTGTACGTAAATTGGCCAAGGTTGCCATTGTAGTTCTGGACGTAGTTGATGCCGCCGGGGCCGCGTGCGACAAGTTCAGTCGCGGCCTCTGCGGCAAGTCCAGTCTCAGGCTCTGCGACAGGGGCGGCACGGGCTCCTGCCACCAGGATGCTTGCTAAAGTTGCGACGACCTTCATGTTGATCAGGAGTGGGTTGAACGTCTGGTCAGACACAGAACGCAACGAATAGGTTTGAAAAGTAGAGCCTGGCACATCAAAGTGTTGAACAGTTGCTGGGCGATATCACTGCTGCTCGTGGGACGACTTTATGTCTCGCTGCGCAAAGCATATTATCCTATTTACCCGTTGAACGTACCTTCTGGACCACATCCTTGAGCGCGTGATCTTGCAAGACTGGTAAGCGAAGCCAACTTTCTGCATTAGGAGGGGTGTTTGGTTACACATTTCAAATATACCTGGAAGAAGAATAAACATGAGTCAAGCGTTCTTGATGAATTGTGGGGTATCTACCCGGTTAGAGAGGTTCCGGTAATTTCGAGATCTCAGGGTAATAATTAGCCTGGGTGTTGATTGGACGAATCTCGGTGCCAAGTTTCAGACTGCTTCACATTGACGCGTGCGATCATGGGACAAGCATAAAGCTTGTCGAGCTTGTCGAGCTTACATCTTGGGCGATGGCACTACGATCGATCGTAGCACGAGACTCGCTGCTAAGCGACGGCTAAATGCGATCGCAAGCACATGAGTTTGTGGAGAAATTCGATATGACCCGGGGAAAGCACCATAGCTCGAGCATGGACAGAGACGACGCCATAGCGCAAGCGTGGCTCCCTGGTACGCTCCTCCCAAACACGAAAGTCCCGGATCTGATGGCTAAATTGTCATCGAGGCGAGCCGTCCGGGTTCCTTTGTTCCACACCAGACGTGCTTAACGCGACCGTGAATCGACCCTGGGGTATGCTGAACTGCGTGGGCATCCAGGTATGGTGTAGTGATTGAGGCAGGTCGTCCTTTTATCCGAATTGCCTCCACAAAGCGCATATATCCTGGGGAATGAACCTGGAAGCCACGTATTGCGTGAAGTGGAGTAGGAATCTGACAAGCTAGGCAGGTCCGAGAGAGACGATTGCCGCAGTTCGATCGCGAGTACTCCCATATGTGCTTTTCTTTTTGCGATTTCTTTCTGATCGCAGAGGTTTGTGTGCGTGTCAAGTCGCCGTAGCAGGAAACTCTCCTGCCCTTCAAGCAGCGGCCAGGCCGGTGGGACGCACTTCCAAGCAGTGACTCATCAAGGAGGCGCCAAAACTCAGGCATATATTAGTTGAATCGTCAGAAAACTATAGCAAATTAAACAACAAAATAATCAAATGCATCAAAGGAGTGAGTAGTCTCAAAATCTGTACCTGTTCGCCCAGAACAATCCTAACAATACCAGAATATAGTGTAAAGGATATCACACGCTCCCGATGTCACGATTGCCTTTGGGAAGCCATGTTGGAAGTCCAGGTGGGTGAACGCCCCCCTGCGACGGAAAACTTGCGTGGAACAGAGCTCTCTGGTTTTCGAAAGGGCGAAATCGTGGTTCGATTCCACGTATTTCCAATAGCGAGTCGTGTTTCTTTTTGCTCTGCTGATTTGTGTGTATCCTGTTTGCTTGGCATGCCTCGGTGGTATGCAGTGGCAGCCTTGGTCTGTTGGTAGTAAAGGGGGCGTGATTTTTTGTCAATGACTCACAGAATCAGGATCCACCTTCAAAGAAATATATATCATACCACCGAAATTTGTGTTAAATTCATCAGTTGATTAGATGGAAGCAATAAGAGGGTCCTATGGTGTAGCGGTTAGCATTCTGGCCTAATACAACAATACTTTGGTGTTGCGAATATAAAGCTAGCGAGCCTGGTTCAATTCCAGGTAGGACCAGATTTTTTTTTTTTTGATCTTTTTCATGCAGGGAACTGGAAAACATAATCTGTGTGCACCTGACTTTGCCTCAAATGTAGTTTTACAGTCGGTTTGGGCGATGAGTATGAGAAGAAGGTAAATTGACTTGAGCTGAACATTGTTCTTGAAATCACTTACGAAAAATCAGTAACATATTCTCTGAACATGCTCCAACCGCGTCATGAAATACCAGGTGAGCCGTGTCCAGCATTAAAGATGCAGAGCTACCTAGTAGCCCTTCAATTGGAAATGAGCCTCTGTTGCGATCGCCGTAAGGCAGTGAGCCCCATTCGATTTCAGATACTACCATTCTTGCGTAGCACAGGCGAATGTCTGCTCCCTGCTCAGACATCTATGTGGTTAACCTAACTGGGATCAGCTTGCATACATGAAAAAGATTAGCTCAAGAGCATGCGAAATGGTCTGAAAGCTTATGGGCAATTGTTGCGCAATTCAGCAACGAGGTTGGGACGGCTTACGAGGACCGGAACAATGGGCTGTGAAGGCGATTGAGCTGACAACGATATTGAGGTGTATGATCCGACGTCGCAGGGGAGCTGCTGGGCTGTCACTCAAGCTCCGAACTCAGTATAACACGCGCCCATCGACAAGCACTATATTCAGATGTGGAAGGGACATAGAAGGATCGACATTGCAAGGAACGTGATGAGATGAGGAGAATATTTGCCCCACTTCGACCACCGCGCTTGTCCCATCTGGACGAACAGCTGAAAGTCGCCGAGCAGCCTTCAATTCTCGCAGCTTCTGTTTTGATGATGCTCTCTAGCTATTCCGTCGTGACCGATACGCCGCTATCAATGTTGTCGAGTGCTGTTATCCATGACTTGTCAGACATTGATACAATACCCTTGCCCTCTGATGCGAAGGAGTGTTTGTGCCTTTGACGAACTTGCTCCAGCTGAAGCTGTACCGGACATCCCTGCCTGCCCGAATCTACTTATCGGACGATCACTTCTTTCGCTGTACGGTTTGCCATCCATCAGGGTCGGTCTTCCTAGGGCGAGTAGCCACGCCAGGAACAAACTTGGCGGCATTCGGATTGTAGGAACGTCCACTCGATCCAGATTTGCCGCTGTCACTCCGATCCCTAGAAGCGCTTCCTGGATAAGGAATCTGGGTGATCAGATTCATCGGACGCTCGCAAGGATCATGAGAAAACCCAACTTGGACCTCTTGAAAAGGTCCTGGCCTTCTGGAGCGACGAAGGAACTCATTCCGCACGATTCGTGCGACGACAGTGGAAGAGAAAACCGCAGTCGCTGATCCAGGTCAGCCAGGTAGTGGACAAAGCAGAAATGACTTACCATTGCCTGTGTTGAACAGCCAGACCAACTCGAGGTTGTGACGACCAACAATATTGATCAGATCTTGCTTGAATCTCTCCTGACTCATGCCATTGGTGAAAAGCTGCTGACGCGCAAAGGTCAAGCGACGTCGTTCGTTCGAGGGAGACTGCATGCGGAGAAGGTCTTCATTCTCCGGGTATGCTTCACCATACTTGATTTCATGGCCCTTGCCAAACACGCCAAGCCCATAGTCACGGATTGACTGACTGTCTTCCTCCATGACCAGCATGGCTCCGCCAGCGTACTGGAAGATGACGCAGACAGCGCCGTATTCTTCCACGTAGGCCATGGAGAAGATGGCGCCGGTGCTGATTCGATCTGTGACCATACTCAAAGGCTTGTCTTTGGTCCAGCCATAGATCCAGAGGCAACGAAAGTCCTCATCCTGCGGCTGCGCCTTGTTCAGTTCCTCCTCTGTGATATGTCGCTTCAATCCATCAGATGGTCTGAACTTGACCAAACGGTTGTTGCCCGTGATGTCGGTAGCTGCGACTGCTGCCCAAGAGGAGGCATTTGGTCTTGCAATGGTACGGATGGTAGTGCCGTTTTGAGCAATCAATTGAGGTTTTGGAGCCGGCGGAGCTTTCATGTGAAACTTGTCGATGGACCAAGGAGCCGTTGTGTGGTTGAACGTGTCAAGCATCGAGTGGACATCGCGTGCAATGCCATTCGCTGCTTCATTTTCACCCTCGCCTCGTAGCTGCGTTGTGATTAGCCCAGGCTACCTGCACCTCGGGGGGAAGCATCTCTTACATGCTCGACCACGCGATTCAAGTGGCTAAGGGCGTCTGCCATCACATCGCTCACGTGGAGGGGATCACTTCCGAAGGCCATAATGTCCTGTGTTGGTGCCTGATCAGTATGGGCTAGTGCTGTGCCTGAGATAAAACCGATATGCAGTTGAGAAGGCCAACAAACCTCGTAATCTTCGCTGCTGGCGTCGCTGTAGAAGAGTGAAGGTGGAGAATATGTATTGGCAGTTGAGCCACTAAGACTGTGTTGGGTTGGGGATGAGGTTAGTGAGGATGAGAGGTATCTGGACACCATGGTGGCCAAGAAAGGCCGCGATCAGAGGGGTCTGGCAATAAAGATTGAAAAAGTGAATGAAAGACGGCGACGGTCCCAAGGCAGTCAATAGTCTCAGCGCCACTTCACTGTTGAGGGGATGTGGTGTTAGTCAACAAAGAAGTGAAGGAACGTTGCCGCGACAAGATAGGTACAACAAGGTAGGTTGTTTGGGATGAATTTGCAACCAGCAGCAGCTACCCGGAATTTTAGATCCCCCTTTCTCAAAAGGCAAGATCGGTGGACTGGTTCCTGGTTGAATAAAGACGTGATGTTTGCTCCTCCCAGCCCAGGTGGGAATCTTTCAGATTTTTATGCCCCGTTCAAACAACCCACACGTCCAGATTGAGCGAAACTCCAGAACCAACTCCAACACATAGCTTCGATAAGAGCATCATGCAAATAGTGTAAAGGGACAAATGCACGGCATTGCACCTACAAAGCATCCCATTCCTGTCCAATCATGAGGATCATGAGGACCGCTTCATTCAACGCCAAAAAGCCATCCTCATGCCCAACTCCCGACCCAACGCCCGGCGCGCCTCTACTGTTCTGGAGACAGCGTCTTTGTTCTCATGTGCCCTTCGAAGCAGATACTTCATGCATTCCCCGATCTTGCCCCAGACTAGATACTTATATGCCTTTGGAACCTCGACGTTAGTGTTGCTGTCGTGTGACTCCAGACGACTATTTGCCATCTGTACCACTTCACAGCTAACGTTGTCTGCCATACCCATCAATTGGCCGTATGCCAGTTCGATTCGTGCTTCACCGTTGCGGGCTTGCTCATCCCGCAGTTCTCTGGCCAGCCTGACAGACTCGGCATTATGGCTCGCAAGGACGAGACTCACTCGAGGAAATTCGGTGGAGGCGCCTTCGATTGGCTGAAGAATATCTTGGTACCGTTGTTGCATGACAGCCTTTGCAATGGCATCGTAACACTTGTGAGTCTCCTCAATCGTGGCCCAGAATAGTTCTCTCGGATCACTTCCCAAATACGCTCCTCGAACGAGCTTGATTCCCATGACGAAGCCCTCTTTTCGAGCAAATTCCAGGTGTTTTGCAAGGTTTGGTGGAGTTCGCTTTGCATATGCTTGGTATGTGCCGTAGACAATTGCCTTCTCCTGGTTGTACCTCTTTGCAAAGTACATTGTCCAATTGTCAATGCCTTCTTGCAACGACGCTTGCTCAGCATCAAAGAGTAGGCCAACACCCCTTTGTGAAGCACGCTTGCAAATATCATGGACAGCATCTTCGAATTCAGCCGAACAAGGCACGGTCGCCTTGAGTCGTCGCAATGCTTGACGTCCTGCTCCACTGAATTTCAGAGCCACGAAGTCGCCTTTCTGGGTAAGTTCAACTGTATCAATGGTGTTTTGTCTCCATGCGGCGACTTCTTCAGCGTCCACCTGTGCTTGATTGGCAGCAGGCTGTGGAGTATCAAGCGCTTCCGACTCTTCTTTGCTGAGGACCACTTCTCTAGCGTGGCCCAGGATGACCCCTCTGAAGCCAATATCCTTCAGGTCCGTCATGGTCTTGCGAACCTCGAGAGGAGTCTCTCCAGCACAGAACTGGGCGTAGAAAGTCCGCTTGAGAAAGAAGCGGAGGATTGGATTGCGGTCTGGGTTTAGGAGTGGTGATTTTGCGTGCGCGAGGATGGTCATGACGGCCAACGACGGTTTCAGAAGTATCGGTATGGAAGATATCGATGTGATTGTGTATGACCGGACAAGGGAGGAGAGGGGAAGGCATGCTAACGGTCGGAATGACGGCGAGTCTGAGGGTTGAGCATTCGCTGCTTCAACGTCGAGCGCTGTCGAGGTTATTGTCCGACGTGTATGGGCTTTGCGGTGTTGGTTTCTCGGTCGCAGTGATCTTGACTCGGCATTTTGTCTCCAGATGCACTTGTCGTTACACGAGAGAGCAGGAAGAGAGTATGATGTGCGGAGAATCTGCTCTGGATGGATCTGGAATACGACTCGCGAAGAGAAACGGTCCATTTCGCTTGTCAGGGAGGTAGATAGGGATACACAGTCAATAAAGAACAAGAATACTCATCGCGAACAGAGGTTTGCTTGGAAAATATGACATTTAGAAGTATGTACTTCGTGCCACGACAAGCGATACGTCAGCGGGCATCCCCGCCCTCGAGATAAAGACGTTCATCAACCGTGAGTAGCCGACCCGTTCCATCAACAGAAACTTTGTGTCCCGTGCAGGAACAGCCGGTCAAAGGGCCGACGTGAAATCGTACTCCACAGAGCAATGATCTGGGCGCCTTGTGATCAAAGCTCTTGAATCACTTCCAGCTGTGTGGTCAACCTGCGCTGCCCAAGAGAGGAGAGAAAGGTGTCGCCCGCACAAGGTTGACGAGACGTATAAGTAGCAATACACCAGATGTTGACGCGCGCTCAAGTGAGAAAAGAAGAGATTAGCTATGAGCAGCTGATCGTGTGGGTGCAGGACTGGGAAGATGAAGGCGCAGGAAAGCAGTGGTCGCGGTTGCCCTTCCAACGAAAATAGCGAAATGATCTAAACTCAAACAGG